AGTATTGTTTCATTGTTGCTTCTCTCAGGGTGTGGGCACACAAAATGATTATTAGGGATTGCTGAGTTCTGAACTAGCTGTGTAGGACTCAGAAAAGAGATCTTGGAGTCACTGTAGATAGTTTTCTAAAAACCTCACTCAATATACAGTGATGACCCAGAAAACCAATAAAATATTGGACATTTTTAAGAAGGAAATTGAAAACAAATCTGAGAACCTCACTTTGCCATTATACAAACCCATGGTGTGCCCACATCTTGAATACCATGTGTACTTCTGGTCTCCATATCTGCAAAAGGATGTAGTAAAATTAGAAAAGTTGCAGAGAAGGATGACCAAGACTATCAGGGGTATTGAGCATTTGCCATACCAGGAGAGACTAAACAGGCTAGGACTCTTTGCTGGATAAAAATAGATGGTGCAGAATGAAGGAAATCAGATGTGCCATAATGTGTAGTGGCATAGCTGATTCTCTTCTTTAAGGGGTAACACATGTTACCCCTTATCCCACCTTTCATGATGTGGGACTAGGGACAGTGTGAACTCCCTGCTTCCTCTGATCACCAGGGAACAGGTCTGACTAAATGGGGAAAGTGGGGCTTTTCTGTGCCCAGCCAGACATGAGGCATGGGTCTGACTGAGCAGAGAAAGCAGGACTTTTCCCCACTCAGCCAGATCTGCTTCTCCACAGTTGTGGAGGAACAGGTCTGGCCAGGGAACCCCAACTTCCCCAATTATGGAGAGGTACTCAAAGATTACCCAGGTTGCTTCTCTTAGCAGGGAAAGTGGGCAGGTGCTTTGCTGCCTTGAGGGCCCTTCAAGCCCCTCCAAACATCTGTTGGGGGAAGTGGAAGAGTGCTAGGATCTTAGGCTGCTTGTACTTTTCTGCCAGAGTTAATAGACATTCGCCAGAGTTAATAGACATTCACCAAAGTAAAGTCCATCCTTTTTGTTCCACTGATTTTTACTTTCAGGTGCAGCAAAATATATTGATGTCTTTCTGTTTACCACTGTTTCTGTCTCCACCCTTTAGTTTGGAAAGGAGAAGGGGAGGGGGAGGGAATAAGATGGCGTATACCATCATGAAGGGTGTAAACTTAAGATGCACTCACTGAAATTATTAGAAGCCAGGTTTAAACCTAAGAAGGGATAGTACTTTTTTACACAACATGTAGTTAAGTTGTGTAATTTCTTACTATAGGGGTTGGTAATGTCAGGATTTGTTCCTGAACTTGCAAACTAAGGGCATAGGGGCTGAGCACAAGCTCAGCCCTCAACCTGGCCATGACTCATGAACAAAGATGGAGTGGAATGATGAGAGGAGACCTTTTCCCAGGGGGCACCCAGTTCTGGCCACTGATTGGCCTGGTGCTTCCGGTTGTTGAATGCATCCTCCTGCCTACATAAGGCTTCTTGTTTCCTGTAGTTTCATAGTAGTTAGGGGTCAGAAGGAACCTGAATAGATCATCTAGTCTAACCCTCCCATCACTGGCTGGAGCACACGCTGGGATCACACAACCCCAGACAGCTGTTCATCAAACCTTTTTGAATTTACCCAAGATAGGAGCGAGGACCACTTTCCTAGGAAGTTGGGTCCAGATCCTAGCTACCCTGACAGTGAAATAGTGCCTCCTAATCTCTAACCTGAACCTATTCTCCAGCAGCTTCTGGCCCTTGTTCCTCGTCATCCCAGGTGGTGCTGGGGGGAATGGGACCCTTCCTATTTGCTGCTGAATCTCCCCTAACGAGTTTGTAGGCAGCCACCAAATCCCCCCTCAGCCTCCGCTTGCTGAGGCTGAACAGGTTCAGGTCCCTCAGCCTCGCCTCATAGGGCCTGCCCTGTTGCCCTCCAACCAAGCGGGTGGCCCTCCTCTGAACCCTCTCAAGGCAGTCCACATCCTTCTTAAAGTGCGGTGCCCAGAACTGGACGCAGTACTCCAACTGAGGCCAGACCAATGTCACGTAGAGGGGGAGTATCACCTCTCTGGACCAGCTTGAGATACATCTTTGGATGCACGACAAGGTGCAGTTGGCTTTGCTGGCTGCGGTCTGGCATTGGCGGCTCGTGTTCATCTTGGAGTCAATAATGACTCCAAGATCCCTTTCCGCCTCTGTGCTCTCAAAGGGGGAGCTCCCCAGCTTGTACGTGTGCTGTGGATTCCTTCTCCCCAGGTGCAGCACCCTGCACTTATCTACATTGAAGCCCATCCTATTACCATCCGCCCATTTCTGTAGTCTGTCTAAGTCTAATTGCATCCTGTCTCTCCCTTCGAGCGTGCCTACCTCTCCCCACATCTTGGTGTCATCGGCAAACTTGGGCAAGGTGTTTTCCACACCCTCGTCCAAGTTGCTGATGAAGATGTTGAACAGTGTAGGCCCCAGGACCAAGCCCAGCTGTTCATATCCCTCCAGGTCGAGCACGACCCGTCCACCACCGCTCTCTGGGTGCGCCCCATCAGCCAATTTTTGACCCATCCAGCTGTGTAGGCATCAATGTCACAGTCGCTCAGTTTATTAATGAGAATGGGGTGAGAGACGGTGTTAAAGGCCTTCTTAAAGTCCAGAAAGACTACGTCCATGGCGACACCATCATCTAGGGATTTAGTTACCTGGTCATAAAAGGCCATCAGGTTGGTCTGGCAGGACCTGCATTTGATGAACCCATGTTGATTTTCCCCTGGGCATGATCTCCCCTGCTGGCCCCTCACAGATGTGATCCTTGATAATTTTTTCAAGGATTTTTCCCAAGACCGACGTGAGGCTTATGGGTCTATAATTTCCTGTGACAACTGTCTAAACAACAAAGCTCCTTCCACCCTTGAACTGCTCTGCTATGTGTGTTACTGTATCCTGATAGTAGATCTGACTACCAGTTACTGACCCTGCCTGGACTTTGACCACCTCTGCCTCATGACTTGGATTATTTGGAACTCCGCACTTTCTGGTACCTGACACAGCTTGTTCCCTGACCTTGATGTGCCTGTTGTTTCAGCCTTTGTTTGGACTCTAACCCTTAGGCTTTGACCCAGATACCCCTTGGACTTCTGGCTATTGGCTTGTGCTAGCCACTAGTCAGACTGCCTATGCCTCAGTGCGTGATATGGAGGCAGATATAGCTAAGTTCAGAAAGGGACTAGACAGATTCATGGAGCTGTTGAACAGAATGGCTGGAGATGTTTCCTCTGGCAATTCTAAACCAATAAGGGTGGATGCCAGGAAGGGTAATGAATGGGGGATAGATTGCTCTAGATCTATCTGGTTCAATGCTCTCCCTCTAAAGTATCTACTTCTGCCACTTTTGGAGATTGGGTACTGGGCTAGATGGAACCATTGGTCTGAGCCAGCATGGTCTTTCTTAAGTCCTTATGTAGGGAATGGTTTCCTTAAAGATGTTACCCTGTGGTAAGGAGAAGACATCCAGGTTTCTCAAACTGGTGGCTACTCACAGTAGGTCTCTGGTCATTAGCTGCTGGAGGAGTTGATTTGCACCGAACAAATGTTTACCCTAGGAAGAAATTGACTAGGCAAGTTGCACGATATTATATCAGTTTGTTATTGTACCAATTTCTGCTTATGTTCATTTTCAATTTACTCTGAAATGTGTAAATATGTTGTTTGTATTATCACTAGATTGACCCAAATGTTGTAGTAAAGAGAAGCTTTAGCTCAAGGTTGCATATGTGAATGTCTGTGACTATTTTCTTTCTTCAAAAAAAAAAGGGAAAAAGGGCTTGAAGCCAAATCCTTACAGTTGTGTAGGGACCAACATCTTTCTCCCTAATAAAGCATTTCTAGAAATTGTATGTCTTGTCTACTTTTTGGAGTGTGTGTTTGGGTTTTTTGTTTTACTTAGAGGACTGATGGACTAACAGATTCATGATCTCACACATGCCAAGGAAATTAAACCTGATTGAACAGGAAAGCTATCTTTATTTATGAAGTTTATCTACAAATGAAACAGAACCAATTTAACTTAAATAGTTCTAAAAACTGGTGTAGTAAACAGTCTAAACCAGGAATGGGGAAAATACAGCCTATCCCCACGTGCAGCTCTCAGGCATGCTGGGAGCTGTAGTTCATGGGGCCAGGTGGCACAGCAGCCAGACTTGGCTTCCCAGCAGTCCTTGTAGTGGTGATGGCAGCTCACTCAGCCTTCGCACTTCTGCAGAATCAGCACCTGTTGCAGGGACATGCAGGGAGCAGGTTGCAGTTCTGCCCCAGGCTCTGGCCCTGTGTTGTCACTACTCCATGATCCCAGCCCTGACCCTGGCTGCCAATCCTGCTCCCAGGTACCACACACTGCCTGCCTGCGACACCATTCCATCTTCCTGGGTGAGTGCACCCTGCCTGTGGGGGGTCTCAGGCTGGTCTCCATGGAGACCCCACTGTCCCACCCACTTCATCTAGTACCCCTGGCAGTGGGTGCGGGGTGGACAGGCCAGGTGCCGAATAGGATCATTTGGCATCTCCCTGTCCCTGCCCCTCTTTTCCTCCCCTCCCTCCCCCACCCCCCCCAGCCCTCAACAGCTCACCAAAACTCCTTAAGTGGCCGTCTAGCCCAAATAATTGCCTGCCCTTGATCTAAATTGTAAACTTGTGTAATTCGATTTTATGGATGCTGTACACTTGGTAGAAGAGTGTGGCTTTTTTATGGTAAATTTATGTAAGACATCTTAAGCCAAAAAAGGTGAAACCCTATCAAGAAGTTGCACAGATTTAACTAATATAATTCAATCCATTTTTTTCCTTTACACAAACCTACCTTATTTAAATTGGAGGAACTGTACTATAGAGGGTCTTTTGTCTTTTTGTTTTAGCTCTATATATAAGAAAAGTGGCTGAAAAGCAATTACAGAAAGTTCTTTTTTTTTTTAATTTCGTAAGATCATCTTCAAAGAATGTATTAAGCAATCTGTAGAATATTTTTTTTAAAAGGTCAGGTTTGGGGGGGCTTCTGTTTTTCTTTTTTTAATTTCAGAACTTTTTCTGTTTGTGTGCAGGTTACACACCAGAGGTGGCACTGCATGTAAAGACCGACTTTCCCTTGCCTGAAGGATTTACTAGATAAGATTACATGCGCTGTGAGTTTTTTGTAACATAGTTCAAGGGTCCAGCATATGGAATGTTTAGGCCTTGTATATGCTTATTCTCCTTTGCCATCAAAACTTCATGAAACAGACTGGAGCCACCACTGCCCAGCTGTCTCAGCACATGGGGCGCTTGTACATGTGACAGGGTTTTAGTTCTTTGGGTTGCATTCTTTGGTCCCTAAATTGAACCAAGGAGTTTTTAACTGAAACATGGGTTTTATTTTTCTGTTGCTGTATATATTTTGCTGTTCTGACATCTACAGATGCCTGCTGAAGTCAGAAGTGGTGAGGGGCCCAATCCTTTCTTTGGTGGAGCCTGCCTGCCTCTCCCACAGCCAGGGGGCCATTAATATGTGCCATTAATCTGTCAGCTTTTTCCCCAACCACAGGAGAGGTGGTCAGGCTCCAGTGAAAAAAAGGATCAGGCCCCTCATTGCTTCTGCCTTCAGCAGGCTTCTGTAGCCACCAGGACTGCTGGGACCTCCTGGGAGTGGGCTGGCTTGCCCCTGGGACAGCATGGGGAGGTGGCAGAAGGGTGGCTGAGTGTGCTGGTGGCTGCAGGTGCTCTTGCTCATGAGAATTTATGCATCTCTGATTCAGTTGGTTTATAAGGGGCATCTCAAACTCGGGACATCTCAGTCTCAGTTTCAGCAAAATATTGAAGCCCAGACAGTCCTAAAATGTCCAAGTTTTTTTTTGGTTTTTTTGAGGACAGGTTGGAAAAACCCTGGGATATATTATTGTTTTGCCTATGAAAATGGACCTCATCTATGTATAGAGAAGATTTGCTTGAAATGATGATGGAATATACAGCTTCATTTTGAAGTAAACTCTTCTCAATTATAGGTATATTTTAGTTCAATTTAAACACCCTTGAGAAGTACAGTAGCCCTTTTTTACTTAAGGAATTAGTAGTATTATGTTAGGTAGACCTATTTGACTGGCTGTGTCCTCTTGGAAAGCTTTGTGATTTCACAGGATCATGTGCCTTAGGAGCCTTTGGCTTTTTTAAACCTGATATGTTATTTCAGGGGAAAACAGTCCAAGTAGGTAGCAAGCTGCAAGTTCTTTTTCTGAAGAAATTTGAAAAATTATAGTACTACTGGCTTGACTAATTACATTAATGACTATAGGAACTCCTTAAGGGATGTAGTTAACTCCATAGTAATAATCCCAGCTTCATTTTTCCTTAAACTCCCTTGATTAGAACAGCAGGGAATTACATGAAGCTTGTTTTATAACTTGATTAGTTTAAATTATGTTCTATATTTAGAGAACTTTTTTTTGAAGACACTTAAAAGAAGTTTTTATTACTACACTTTACCTCATAGTTTTTTTCCTGTTCAGCGCTGGGCTACTCTGTTTTGCCATGCTTAATTCAGCAAGTTTCACTGTTTTGACATGACTGCAAAATCATCTGGTACTGGAATGTGTCTCCTATGAAGACTTATGTTCATGTGTCATCCTTTTACTCAGGAGTATAGGTTGTAGCCTTGTTGATCTATGATGGTGGTTCCCAACCTCAGGTCGCGACCCAAATAAGGGTTGTGGGGGCAATGCCGGTGGTGCCACACACAAAGGATGAGCTGTGCCATGTGCTGGGAGCTCCCCTGCCCCGAAGCCACTGCTGCCAGTCCACTCCCAGCAGTGGGTCACAGCAAAAACAGGTTGGGAACCACTGATCTTAGGACATAGGCAGACAAGGTTCTTTGGGTAAATATGATATCTTTTATTAGACCAACTCAAATAGTTGGAAAAATTCTTTTTAGGAAGCTTTTGGGTATAAATACCCTTCATCAGGCTGAGGAAGCATCTGCAGCTGGTGTGGAATGAATAGTAAAGAAGCCAGAAGCTGATATGCATGCAAGAAAGGCAGTCAGTAAAGATGTAAATTGAGGATTCAGTGGGTGAGAGACAGGTGGGGAGGGGACGGGGAATGAATGGAGCTGGTAAATAGTGGAGAGGTACCTGGGGAGTCAGTCTTTTTACTCGGTCCATTTTAGTGTTGCACTGCCGTACAGCTAAATGCTTAAACCTTTTAAGCTGTTAGCAGGTCATAAAGTTTCTAAGAAACATCTTGGGGGAATTGGATGAGATGTGCTGGGCTTTCAAGCTTAATTATTATTATTTTTTAACAATAGAGGAAACGTTGTCCTAAATATAGCATTGAACCAGTGAGAGTGACACTTGTCCAGAACATAAGTAGTGCCATATTGGGTTGAACCAATGGTGCATGTAGCTCAGTTTCCTGACTGTGACAGTGGCAACTGGTATATATACAGGGCATGTTTAATGTTATCCACTCTGTCATATCCTCCCTGGGAACAACTATAATTGATTTACAGACATCAAGATATCCCTGAGTGCTATATTTAATTGCCATCAATTAATCTGTTCTCCATTAATTTGTCTAGTCCCTTTCTGAACCTAGTCATACTCTCTACTACTGCAACCTCCTGTAGCAATTAGTTCTACAAGGGGACTGTGTGCTGTGAAGAGAGGGAAAAATAGGACTTCTTATTGTTTGTTTTAAGTCTGTCTTCTTTTAATTGCAATGAATGTCCTCTAGTTCCTGTATTCTTGGACTTGTTGAATAACAGTTCCCTGTTCACTTTATTCACACCTGTCATGATTTGCTAGACGTTTATATCCTCCCTTTTTTCCAAATGGTGAGGGAGGGAGTGGGACTGGGGTGAATGGGGCCCTGGAGCTGGGCAGCGTGTGGGATGGAGCTGAAGGAGGCTTTTCCAGGGGTGCAGGGGAGGGGGTGCAGCTCCCTGCTGCTGTATGCACTCCTGGAGGAGTCATGGGGGGCATGTGCCCCCAGATTTGTGCTTGGGGCAGAGGCAGGCTGCCTGCTGTAGGCCTGGGCTCTGTGCCCTGCTGCCTTTGCCCCAGGAGTGGTGCACTGGCTGCACCGCAAGTTCCCTGTCCACCCAGCAGTGGGAGGCACAACATGACATTGTGAGGCTCCCAGGGCAATAGAAGCAGGGGTCTGAGCCCCAGCCAGCAGTGGGAAGCCTGCCTCTGCCCTGCACACAGATCTGGGGGGCACATGCCCCTCATGCCTCACCCCCAGGGGTGTGCACAGCAGCAGGGAGCTGCGCTCCTGGATGAACCACTTGCAGCTCCGTCCCACCCTGGCCCCTGGGCCCCATTCATCCCAGTGCCTGCCCCCCTGGCCTTACCCCTACCCCTGCCACACCCCCTCTCTCACCATGGGGGCCTTGGTCTGCCTCCCCCATCCCTCTGCCTCCACAGACTTACCATTGCAGTGCTGCTCTACACTCAGTGTAGGCTGCAGCTGCTCCTATGCATCTGTCTGTGTGCACTTACCCCCACTGAAGCCACCAAGAGCTTGCATCTGGGCTGCCCTGCTTTCCTCTGTGCTACCACCACTGCCCCTCTGAGTGGCCTGGAGGCAGTGGAGCAGAGCCCCTGTGTGGGCTCCAAAACTTTTTGGAGTGTGATTAACACATTGAAAAAATTAACACAGGAACCAATTAATATGTTAATCATGCATGTTATCTGTGATTAATTGACAGACCTAGTTCTAAGCTTTTCAGTCGCTCATAGTATGGCAGCTTCTGTACCCTCTGATCATCTTTGTTGCCTTTGTTGGTAGCTCTTCTGACTCCATTGCATTCTTTTTTTTAGGAAGTGGAGACCAGAACTACATGCAGCTTTAAACATACTGGTGTACCATGAATTTATACAGTGGCCTAATGATTTTTTCTTTCTTATTTTCCATTCCCTTTTTAATGATGCCCAACATATTGGGTTTTTTGTGATCACTGTTGCTCAAATGATTTTAAGAGATTTACAATGACTCCAAAGTATCCTTATTTTTCTTGAGTTGTAATAATTAGTTCAGAGTTCAGAAATAGACATGTGGTTACCTTGGTGCCTAATGCCACCATCTAGACCACCTGAGAGGGATGATATGTACTTCACTTCCTGGTCCATTGTCAGTAAAATACTTGTATTCTAATAGTAACAGTTTCAAAAGGAGTAGCAAAGAGGATCCAGCCCTGGAAACTACTATAGCCTTGTCATTATGTTCTAATTCTAAAAATTAGGCACCCAAGTTCAAGTCCCTGCTCCAAAAAAGGTAGGTCTCTGCTCCAAATCAGAAGTGCCCTTACATTTTTTGAGAGAGCTGGTCTATAATCATGATTTCTTTGCAAGCTTAGGCACCTAATTCAGGGGCAGTTACCAGAGGTGTGCAAAATAGACCGTATTTGATTTGGATTTGGATTCAGCCTGAATCGGGGACAGTAATTCAGTTCATTGATTCGGATCACTGTCCTGATTCAATTCAGCTGAATCCGAATCTGAAGATTCAATGCTGATTCAGCAAATCAGTGATTCAGCCATAGATACTGCTTTAAATGTTTTTTCTACATACCTCGAGGTACCAGGCACAGCTCGTGACTGCTGCGATGACGAGGCAGATGGAGTGTCCCAGAGGAGTGGGGTGAGGGGTGGCGCATGCTTGGCAGTGAACCCGGAAGTGGACTGGAAGTACCCCAGGTATCCCCCACCCAGACCCAGGAGGCACCAGTTGCTGAGCCAGGGGGTGGGGGGCAGTCCCCCGCGCACTCTGCTGTGGACTGGAAGTGCTTCTGGTCTAGTGTCAGGTCCAGTGCCAAGCATGCTGGGAACCCCTATGCACTCCCATGAGACACTCCATCCTCCCCAGCATCCCAGCGTTCACGAGCTGTCTGGTACCTTAAGGTATGTAGAAAAAACATTTAAAACTATGTCTATGTCCGAATCATCGAATCTCTCTGAATCAATTCAGAGAGTTCTGATTTGATTCGGAGAGATTAAAGGGTCTTCTGATTCTATTTGGATTCAGAGACTCAGCCACCAAATTGGGCCGAATCTCTGCCAAATTGAATCAGTGACCTAAGTTTCGCACAGCCCTAGCAGTTACAATTCCCTTAATGATCACCCATTTTGTACACCAAATCAAGATACAGTTGCAT